CCCGAGGACTAAGGGGAACCTGGCGGTTGAGGTGATCACAAATGCTCTATTCTCCCAGTGTTCCCCAGCCCCAATTCGCAATGGCACAGTCTCGTACTCGCATGGATCTTTCATTGTAGAGCCGTCCATTTGGGTGACTATCAGGGGGTCTTTTAATTTCACCACCCCAGCCTCCAATCCCGTAACCAGGGAGGGGTTGATAAGGTCCCTCCCGCACCCCGAGTCAATTAGGGCTCTCACCCGTATATGTGTGCCCAGGCTGGGGTTAATCAAAGTCATAGTCACAAAAAAGAGGGAGGGAAAACTGCTCACCACATTAGGCGCCTCCGGTATCGGGCCCTGCTGCTCCTTACAGCCATACAGCAGGACCAATCCGTTTCCCACCAGCTCGGGGTCCTCTCTGCTGGATTCCACCTCCCCTTCCTCAGGAGCCGCTTGCTTTGGCATATTTTGGCTTCCCAGTCGCCTTCTTCACTGGCGTGGTGTGGCGCACTCGGGTTGGTTCTACTGGCTGTGGCCATTCTTAACAGAATGTCAGAACCCACAGCTAACAACGAAGTACACGCATTCAGGAACGGTTATACTTTTATTGCAAAGCTATAGATGCAGTAACATAGACACTGTTAAGAATGGCCACAGCCAGTAGAGCCTAATAGGATATAGGGTATTCGTATGCACCCCCCCACAGCATTGGCCAATTAGGCACCCTCCCGTGCGCAGGACAAGTCAGGCAACAGTTAGGTGGCTAAAGCTGAGAACTCGGAGTCTCTCATGGTACATAGGAGCTCTCCAGACAACACAACCTCCTCCTGCACATCTGTAGAGATAAGCATTTCAGCAAAGGCATAACAGCAGGGATAGGAATGCAAGAGCAATTAACAAGACACAGAATGAACTCCCCAACCCCCATGGCAGCATAGCTGACATAAACTTACCAAAAGGTCCTCATGTTAATCAGCAACCAGTCCTATTCTCTAAATGGAGTTTACTTCCGTGGCTTTCTCGTTTGCTGGTTCTGCCTCTAAACAAGAAAGTTGGAAGGACCACTATATACAAAGAAAGGGAAACAGTCCCTAATTATCATATCCCTCCTTATAGTCTTCAGGCAAGGTCAAATTTCCTTTTAGATGTAGGTATTGCCCATACGGGAGGTTGCTCCTTAGATGCCTTGCATGGTGTGATTTAAAATGAAGGTAAGAATATTTATCCATCTTCTTACAGAGCGGTTTGACAGGTAAAGTCCCGGAGTCTGACACAAAAATTGTAGCATCCAAAAAATTGATAGATGTCTGGTTGACTTGTGATGTAAATTTAATAGATGGATGTCTATCGTTCAACCAGTCAACAAAAGCCCTAAATTTAGAATAATCTCCGGGGTTTTTTTTTCTAATATTAGGGATGTGCATTTCGGGATCCCGAACCAAAAAAAAGCCGAAAATAACATTTTCCGGCTTTTTTCGGCTTTTGCAATCCCGAAATGGCTTCCTATGCATTTTCCCGAATCCCGAAAAAAAATCCCGAAAAAATTCGGGAAACCCGAAAAATTCGGGTCCATTATAACCAATGGGGCCATTGAAGTCAATGGCAAAAAACCTCTTGAAACTTTGCGGGGGGCTGGGGGGGAGGGGGTAGAGCCTCCAA